CTGTGTCTTGCTTTTCACGCTTGGACCATGCTCCCCTCCTTTCCGGCCGACGTGTTTTGGGGTCCTTGGGATGAGGATCGTCCTTCGTACGCATCGGGGCGTGGGGGGACGGCCCGGCTGGGCGGTGCCGCGCATCCTAGTGTGTGCATCATCTTGAAGATTCTTGATGCGGAGGCTGTGAATTTCTTGATGCGAAGGGCTGCGATAACAAGATTCCCGAGATAGGGGGTCGGCCTGTTGATTGTTTGGACTAGTTCTTAGGCATCTTGATCGTTTTCTTGATTGCACGGTGAGGAATGAAAGATTTTCGAGAAAGGCTTTTTGTGTGTTTCCCACAGAAGGCGCCAATTTGATGCTGCTCAATCCGAGGTTGTGCACGAACTGAGGACAACAACCAGATAGTCCTTGCTAACAGGGCGAGCCCGAGCTACAAGGACGAGGTCGCGCTTCAAGACCTATGATCAAGAAAGGAGTTAAAGGCTCGATGAGTTATCCCCAGGTAGGTACTCTGACGCTCAAGTTAGTAGGATGTGATGGATGGTCGGGCTGAGCTATAGGGATGTTGGTCCAAGCTAATTAGTAGTATGGGTGTTAGAAGTTGCTAACAGGGCGAGCCCGAGCTACAAGGACGAAGTCGCGCTTCAAGACCTATGATCAAGAAAGGAGTTAGAGGCTTGAGGAGTTATCCCCGGGTAGGTACTCTGACGCTCAAGTTAGTAGGATGTGATGGATGGCCGGGCCGAGCTATAGGGATGTTGGTCCAAGCTAATTAGTAGTATGGGTGTTAGAAGTTGGGGATCCCTTACCTCGAGCATGGAGTACCTTTATATAGCTGAAGATACGTGTCCTGGTCGGATTAGGCTTCCGCGGTTAGCCGCCGAGTTATTCGGGATAGAGTCCCATTCCTCAGCGGAGTCGTCTTCCTTATTCCTCTTTATCCGTAGTTGTGCTCATTCACATGACGTGTAGTTGACGTGGCTGAAAGGAGAAGATGGGGGGCCGTCATAATAGTGTAGCTCAGTCGAGCTAGGCCGACATGGCCGGGTGATAACTAGGTGGCCACATGTCTTACAGGGCCAGCTCAGCCATGACCTGAACACCAATTATATATAAATGAATCAAATTTGAATATACATCTGATTCCATCTATTAGCAGTTCTATAATGCCTATTGTTTGTAGTGTGATTTCACTTACACTATACAAATGAATGAGAGTGCAAACGAGAAAATTACACATTCTGGTTGGTTTACTTCTACCCATGATTTTCAAAGCCAGACCATACTGGATGGCTAGATTGGAAAAACCAGGATGATAGGTTTTATTTTTCCCCAAAATCAGATGTTTGCCAAAAAAATGTTGATTTGGTCAATAAATCATTGACCTAGGCAGTTTAATCGTTTGAGCCGTTCAACGGTTTTAATCATTTTTTAATTTTTTTAAATTTTGTTGTCACAAAAGGCTAACCATTCGATTTAAACGATCAGACTGTTCGACCCAAAAACCAGACCCCTAACCAATTCGTTGTTCGGATCGGTTTTAAAAACCTTACTTCTACATTATTTTTTTTCAACTCCAATGCAAGTATCTATCAAAAAAAAACTCCAATGCATATAGATAAAAATAAGACAAAAAATCAAATAAAAATAAATCAATCGATATGCTATTGCTAATGGAATTGCAGCAAGGACGAGTCACCGAGGGAAGACCTCTGCCTCTGGTCAAGGGTATTAGGGTCCAAGACCACGAGCATAATCCTCCCAATTCCCAAACTAGTACCACACTCATAACGTTAGGGCGCCACAGCTTTTTCAGGGAGCGGCACGGGAAAAGGAAAGATATTTTAGTGGAGGGTATTTTCGTCCATAAAACAGTTCCTGTCTTTCACGGGTTCAACTATAATACGGAAAAGTTAAAAAACACATGACCAATGAACTAGAATCATGGACTTGGTAACAATTTAAGTGTTATTTATCAAAATTCATGAATGGATTTTGATTGGTCAAAAATCTTTCCATATCATATATAAATAACACCTAATTTTGATATATATAAATAACCCAATTATATACATAAATCTCATGAGTTTCATATTAGCAACTACTATTATCACGATCTTGATGAATCTCATTCGTCCAATGAGAAGGATTATCGTAATGTACAATTTATATCTCACATTTTCCTAGGTCTCACTTTGATCTACATGGGCCCTACGTCAGATTAAATCAATAGTATGGTAAGGATCGTTCTTTTAGTACGATTGGTTCCCTGTGGGTCAGCCCGGCCCCAACTCTCAAGCCTCCACGTGATCGAAAAATACATTGACGAAAAAGAGGAGAGGAAAAAATAAAAGGAAAAATTTCTTTGACTATTCTTATTCTAACGTTTTATGACAATTGATATCAACAAAGTGTTTACGAAAAAAATGAAATGCCAAAATTGTCTTTCACTATTATTCATATTTTTAAAATAAAATCCAACTAATAAAAATTTTGAAGAATTATAACCTCTTTCCCCTTTCGTCTCTCTCACTCCCTCTTCTTTCTTCTTTCCCCTCACCATTGCTACTGCCACCACCACCGCCACCATTACCGGCGAAGGGGCTGAAAACTGCACAGCAAAAGTGAAACGAGTTCCAGAGGTGATAGCGTTCTATCACTTCCTCTACGGCAGTGGCTCCTAATCTCTCTCTCTCTCCATTATCTATCTCTAGCTAATGCAGCGAAGAAAACGTTGTCCGATGCTGGAATATGACAAATGAAGGCTATAAAGCTAAGGCGGGAAAAGTCTAGAAGATAGTATTTCGTTGAGTAGCTCTCTTGCTCTAGAACTTCCAGGCCACATTCATTCAGTTTCGATCCATTTATTGGCATTTGATACTGCAAGAATACAATCGATTTGAAGACCATAAGATTAAACTTTTCTATGGCAATCAAGTGGTGTCTGATATTCCAAGAACACGATTGACCACTCTGAGTGGAAACCCTCGTTGCCATTAGCTCTATAGCCTTCCTGAACAGAGAAACCAACCCTAAAAAACTGGTAGTGGTATACGAATTGGTTTGCTACAGGCTAGCAAGGTGTAGACCTGCAAACGAGCTTCTATTGCTGCTGGTTTTCAGTTTTTGAGAGAGAAAGTGAGTGGTTTTCCATGGACATTAACGGAAAACCACTCAACGCTAATGATGGGGTTGAAGTGGTTATCATGATCTCAGGAAAAAGAAGAAGCTTTAGAAGTGAACAGAGAAGATAAAACGTGCATATCAAAAGATGTAGGAGCTTGTTACTCCTATTTGAAGGATTTAGAAGCTTTAGCTCGGAAGAATATTAGCTTGGGATCTCCGGCTTCAAATGCAAGACCCTGGGAGCTGGATGTAGCAGTGGCAATTGGGCGGGTTGGGGTGGGATTGGTTTGGGTTGAGCTTCAACTCAATCTATCTAACCCGCCAATCCATTAATGGCCCAATTAAATAAAATTAAATGGGTTGGGTTCAACCCAAACCCACTTTAACCTAATCCAATTCGTCCAAACCCATTAATCTTATATTTATGTACTTAAAACAAAAAATAACTCTCACTTGACAAATAAGTTGGTCATAGTTTAGTGATAATAGTAGTTGCTATTTACACAAGTGGTGAAGGTTTAAATTACATTACATGCATGTTGTTTTTACATGAGTGGCGAAGCCATTTGATCGAACCACTTAGGTTCAAACCGATCAAACCAACTTGAACTATCTAATTGGATTATTTTTGAGTTAATCACATTAAGGGTGGTTGAACCGTTAAGATCTAGATCAGTTCGGTCAAACTAAGTCATACCGGTTCAGTCAATGGCAGATTGACTTGGACCGACCCATATCAGGTTTTTGGACAAGTTTGGGACCGAAACCGACTGGCTCGAAGCGAGTCAATAGAAGTAAATTGAACTGGTTTAGATTCGAGGTGGGTTGTGTGGATATGGATCGGACCAGATAATCCAAACTAGGCAAAACAAGCGGAGCAAATTTTGGGTCAGGCCGGATTGAGTTCCGTCCGTACCCTTTTCGGCTTCGAGTCAACCTAGGTCGGTCTACCTTGGGTCGAGTTAGGTCCAGACTGGGATGACCGACCCAAACGAACCAAATCAAGGTGATCGGGTCTTTTCATATTTAGACCAAGTTGAGCTGGTCTGAACTCGGGTCAAGTTGATTTGGATTTATGTCGACTTAGGTTAAGTGTATTGATTTGAGACAAAACTAATTTTAGTCAATAATTAATAATTAATAAAAAAATTAATACATTAACTATAAATTATTTCATTCAAATGAAGAAAATTAAAAAAAAAGACTAAAGAATTAATACTTGTATTTTTAGTGGTTAACCTAATGGTTATCCACAACCCAACTCATTTAAACTGACCCAATAGGTGATCAACCTATTTTCAACCCGCCAAATAAATGGGAAGGTTGGGTGGATTGAATGGATTGAGCGGGCTGGGTGTAAAATTGCCACCCCTAGCTGGATGGACTTAAATACGACATGCAATTGTCAACACTTATGGGCTGTCCTTCTCCAGATATGTCAAAGGTCATTCCTAATGCAAACAAATCTCCCAAAATCTCAACATAAGGCCTAGTTCAGAGCATGTTGATGTCGAGGTTTGTTTTTTCAAAACCTAAATCTAGATTTGTTGATTTGTGTGGTCATATCTCATACTACAGTGAATCTGGTTTAAGAGAACACCTTACATCACTTCCGCAACTCCCACAGAAAATTTATAGACAGCTCCCGTGACCCCAAAAATGCCATTGAGTGGATTCTTTTTATATGCACATCTCCCTCACGCCTACTCCGGTTCCAGTAAAGCCTTCCAAAGGCTTTCATATTCTTCTCTGTGACAAAAGGTTATTTTAGGATTTTTCGAAAAATAAATCGGTTTATAATGGAAAGTTAACGATAAGGGGGACTTAAGACAATACGTAAACATGTGAACGATTTATAATGAAAAGTTAACGATAAGGATAGAATTAGTGAATTAACTAAAATCATAAGGGTAGTTTAAGATAAAATGACTCAAAACTTCTGTCTTTCGTCTTCGAACCACGCAGAGGAGGAAATCTATTACACGCCAAGTAGCGAAGCTCCCGTCCGTTTCCTCAAAACCAGTTGAAATCCAGGAAAAGGGCAGGAGAAGACACTTCGACCTCCAGCTAATGCTCCTGCTTAGGTTTTTTCTAGGGTTTCTTGATCTTTGTACGAACCAGATTTTTATGTGACTGGAAGAGGTCGCTCTGTATTTCTAGGGCTTTTGCTTTTTTGGGCTTTCGCGACTCCCGATACGAAGAAAAAGAGAGAAGGGGGAGAGCAGCTATGCAAACGGAAGCTCGAGTAGGGGTCGTCGTTGAGGGAGGGCAGAGAGCTCTCAATTCTGGCCATGGAGCCTCGAGGGATGCTGGTGCTCGGAAGTTCGCCCACCAGCAACATCGGCAGCAACACCAGCAATCGTTGCATCAGCAATCGCAGATAGGAACGGTTTCTCAGTTACTCGCTGGAGGCATTGCTGGCGCCGTTAGTAAAACCTGCACGGCCCCTCTTGCTCGCCTTACCATTCTATTTCAGGTCGGTTTACCTAACCGTTCTTGTTGTTTTTCCTAAAAGCAGTCACTCTTTCTCTTAATTTCTAATTTTGTTCAATTTTCTTTTTCGAGGGGATGGTGCTTGGTTTCAATTTTATAAAGATCCATCTACTCCTATATCTGTTGGTTGGTTGGGGCGGTTCTTGTGTTATTGGTGCAGCGGTCTCTACAAAATTTAACATTAGTTGGAACATGCCAAATATTCTATTATGAATTTCTGGAGGTTTCACATATTGTGTTGTGCAAGGTGATTTTTTTTTGGTAGTTGTTCTATTTCAAAAGTGAATGTGCGTAAGTCATTAATCAGGATCAAAAGGGTAAAGAAACCCTCCATTCGGCTTAGGTTGCTAGAGGTGTTTGTTAGACAGTTCGGTTTCCTACCAGAAAACCAGTCCCATTAAGGGCTACAAGTGAATGCAACGTAGAATGGTTTTCTGGAAGTACTTTTAGTTTGAATATTTCCCATAAAAATCATTTGTTAGTGGCAGTACAAGGAGCATAAGTTATTGAAGTGTCATGGTTAATGGAGAGATTGAGATACAACGGATAGCTTGAGAATGATTAGTTTGCTCAAGCGAGGATGAGACATGGGTCTATGGTGGAGGTGTGGAGCTAAGACCTGAAAAAGAGGGAGTTTTTTGAGCTAAAAGTTTACAGTTTGTGTAAGGATGAATGTTTCTGTGGCCAGAATCGAGTTAGGTCTCCAAGTAGTTTTGAAAATATTTCCAGCTTGAACCAATGAATGGACAGCTTAATGTTTGAACTAGATTTTTCTTCTGGTTTGTTCCACAGTTTACTTGAGATAGTCTAAAAATCACTTTCAATCATGTAACCTGGGTGATCTTTAGTAAACTACTTGCCTGGATGGGTTGTGAAGAATTTTAGGAGTCAGGACTTAGCATATAAGGTTCATAAAAAATAACATATGATCGACTTTCTATGCTATCTTTAATTTTTATGATTTTAGTTAGACATAACCAATGAAAGAAATTGGAACACTTAATTCTAATTTTGCTCTCTCCATTTCACTGTTCCTTCTGGGCAGGGTTGTTGCTAAAGTCATTATCACATTTATCCAATCTATAGTTGAGAGAGATATTGTTTTGGTTGGCTTATTTCTTGGGTGGGTTCTTGGTTTTTTTTGATACCAAGGTCTTGTTTTGTTTGTACATCCTTACCATTCCTTTTTGAAATGAAAGTTACCTTTTCTCAAAAAAGAAGATAAAGGAATATGGATGTTGTTGAGTGAAAGAGGGAATGTGGATGTCAGTTGAATCCATAAAAGAAGAAAGATAAAGAAATAGCATCCAGTTAAAGAAAAAAAGCTGTATCAATGAGGGAACAAGTTAAAGAAGGCTGTCAAGAAGAGGAAGTGTGGCAAAAAATAGTTGGGAAACTGCTATCCTTGTCATCTGCACATTTATCAATAAACAGTGTTCCCCTTAGTTCTCTCTTTCATTTTGAAAACCTTTTTGTAATGACAAATGGGATAGTGGTTTAACGTTTATTTTGCATTCCCCATTGTATAGCCTCTGGTTGTACATGGGTTTTCTTTTTCTTTTCTTTTTTTTAATGAATCAATACTTTACCACTTCTCAAAAAAAAAAAAAAACGTTAAATGTCCCTTGGAAGATTCTTGTGAATCTCCTCTTACCTCCTGCCACATGTAGGAGCTACGTTGGTGCTGGAAAATATGTTTCTTAAGCAATACTTTGGTTTTGATGAGTTCACTTGGTCACAACACTTTCTTGCATCTCTATATCAAACACAGACATGCTAACAATCAAATGAAAAATGAAATCACCCAATGAGTGCATGGATTTTTCCTACCCTACATTATACAAAAATGCATGCACTGGCTGAGGAGATTTGGGGTGTGGGAAAGGCACACCCCAAGACTTTATTGGGTGATTTCATTTGTTAGTGGGTTATTTTTGTATAATGTAGGGTAGGAAAAATGCATGCACTCATATGACTACAATACGCCCCCTTGTTTGAATGCACTCATTTTTCCTACCCTACATCCAAGACTTTATTGTCTAAGATACGAGTATCAATCATTTGAGGAGATTTGGGGTGTGGGAAAGGCAATGAATGGAGTTCGTGTAGGCAGGTCAGTGGAGGAGATCCTTAAAGATAGAAGCAAAAAATCTCATGTTCGAAGAGATGAGAATCAAGGGGAAGGTAAGCCTGAAGGTAAGGGAAGCGAAAARGGGTACAATATTGCTGGAAGGATTAGAAGTGATCGAGTGGCTAAGAGAGTTCATAGCTGGAGCCTGCTCAAAAGGTAAGCAGATAAACTGGCAGGATTTTAGTACATT